TTCAAATGTTAAGATTCACCCTACTCTTTGCATATCTATAGTAAACTATGATCCTAATCAAAACTAATTTCAACAACTGGATTTAATGGAGCTTCCCCGGTTTCCATAAAGGTCAATTGGTAGAATGGATGTTTGGCATAAAACAAAGGAATTTTGGGCCGAGGCGGTTTCAACGGCAGCGTACCTCGTAAACAGGAGTCCAACGAAGTCCAGCCAGATCTGAGATATTTTCGAATTTTCGGATCGTTAGTACTGGTCCACATACCGAAGCAAAGGAGGAAGAAGTTCGACACAAAATCCCAAAAAAGCAGTTTTCGTTGGATACGCCACCGATGTCAAGGGATATCGGGTATATGATCCGGTCAAGCGTGACGTGATTGTGATTCAAGAAGGCGAACCGCAGGATTTGCTCGATCTCGTCAAAAATGTGCAACAGGTGCAGTTCATGGAGCTGTATACGATCGAACAACCAAGTATGGGTAGCAACGACATCATTAAAGCAACAGATAATACGGATAATACATCGGGAAGCGACTCAAGCGATGGTGAATACAAAGATGCCGCCAGCGAAGATACCGACAACGAGCCTGCGCTCCCGCTGCAATCTGATAGGCCAGCTGAAGAGCAAGGGTTTAGGAACAGTGGTCGGGAGCACCGATTTCCAGGCAATTGAATTCCTATTATGTTACTTTTAGTTCGTTTACTGGTAAAGTTGTTACAATCTGAGATGCCGTATGATGACCCCGAAAGCTACTTGGAAGCGATCAATGGACCGGACCGCGAACAGTGGATCGCGACCATGGAAGAAAACGAGGCGTGGGAGTTGACGAGGTTTGGGAGTTGACGAGGCGTGGGAGTTGACGAGCCTTCCAAGCGATCGTAAGCCTATTCGGAACAAGTGGATCTTCAAAACAAAGCCAGGAGCAACTGGTGAAATCGAGCGGTACAAGGCCGTGGTCGTGAAAGGGTGCTCGCAGCGGCCAGGCATCGATTTTGACAAAGTGTATTCTCCGGTGGTATGGTATTCCACCATCCGGTACCTTCTGGCGCTGCCAATGAAGCACGACTTGGATGTGGAGCAGATGGATGCTGTCACCGCGTTCCTTCAAGGGAAGCTAACGGATGAAGTCATCTGTATGAGCCTACCGGAAGGGTTTGCCGGTAATTCGAAGGAAGTCTGCATTTTGCAAAAAGCACTATATGGCCTCAAACAATCCAGCCGTGTGTGGAACAACCAGCTGGATGAAGCGCTGAAGGAGTTAGGACTGGAGCGGTCCAAAGTTGATCCATGCCTGTACTTTCGGATCAACGGTGAAAAAATGATTTTCGTCACCATCTATGTTGACGATTTCTTAATCTTTACCAACGATGCCAAGTTAAAGCGGAAGTAGAAGATGTTCCTTCACCATCGCTTCAAAATGAAGGACCTTGGCGAAGCGACTTTCTGTTTGGGATTGAAGATCACATGAGATAGGAAGCACGGAAAGCTGTGGGTAGATCAGGAGAACTACATCGACAGCATTTTGCGACGATTCAATCTGGCGAACTGTAATCCAGTCTCCACACCAGCGGAGGCTAGTGTCAAACTGCATAGGTCTATGGCGCCGACGACGCAAGAAGAGATCAGCGGAACGAAGCAGGTTGCTTACCAGGAGGCAGTTTGCTGTCTCACTTATCTGGCGCAGGCGATGCGGCCAGACATCAGTTTTGCGGTTAACCAAGTTAACCAATTCAACAGCAATCCCGGACGTAGCCATTGGAATGCTGTCAAACGCATAATCCGGTACCTGCGAGGTACTAGTTCAGTTCAGCTGACATACTTAAAGGAGCACTGCGACATTACATCCATTTCTCCTATAATACTTTTTCTTTAACTTTCTATTTGTGTTATTAACTGTTACACATTCGACCTATGAATAACGAACTCTAGCAACTATGTTTGGCGTTGTTAATTCAGTGCCAACATTTCAAATGGGCATAATTGCTTTTGTAAACAATGGCTTTAGCTGTCGATTTCTCGCAACTTAAAGTTCACCCCTCTAAAATAAAAATGCTAATTGGTAGAGGAAACATTCCTCTACCTGTTGGTTTCATTATTTTTCATGAGTGAGCTTTACGCCCCTTTGAAATGTTGGCACTGAATTGTTTATATTTGCGAAAGGAAAGTTGAAAAATTGAGTGCACTGCGGGTTTTAAGCGATGAATATTGTAGTTTGTCTATGGTTGTTTTGAGCAAAAATGAAGTACAAGCTGCTTAACTGCGGTAGAGTCTCCGAATAAAATCCAAATTGAAATAGAAAAAATATTGTACATTCCTGGCATCATTGGTCAACTCCGTCAAACACCACGCACAACTTTCCGAAGGGTATTCTTCAAAAACATTAAGAAGAGTGAGAAGCTCGATTGTCAAGTCCCGTCCCGGAAATGACTCACACTCTAAGCTATGATTACCTAAAATTATCGGTATTTTTTACCGATAAAAATCGTCTTTAGGCTATTTTTACTATAAATTTGTATAAACGTTGATTATTAGTAATCCATGATTACCGATCATTTAGGTATGTGCACTTTCTTCGATTATCGATAATTTTTACCGAAATCTAGGTATTCTTTACCGACATTTAGGTATGCGCATCTTAGCGTGTAGAAACGTAGATACGTTTGTTTAAGTTTCATAAAGCGCCAACTTTGGTCCCCTTCACGTATTTCGTATTTCAGCGTATTTTTATACACAGCTTATCACCCTAACAGGATAAGTCCATTTTCCCTATTTTTTTCTTAAATCGAAGGAAACATATCAAGAAGAATGGCCACTCTGCCAGCATGTTCTCACATAATGCTCATAGACCACGTATTTAGCGGTCAATTTATGGTTTTCTCATTTTGCAGTACAGTTTCTTCGGTGGTACAGTCGCCTGTGACGCGGATAGTCGATTCCCTTGCATTGACGTTTGCACACTTCCGCCTTCTGTTGAGGTTACTACCTGTGACTGTGTACTCAACAGATGGCGGTACCCGAGCAGGAGATAATAATTTATGAATACCTAATTTTGTAATTAAATTTGGTGTTGATCAACCTGGTATAAGAGTTAGAATATCAAAGAATAATACCAAAAAAGTGCATGCAAAATACTTTCTAAATAACAAAAATTGATGTTTGGATAGCAAAAGAATATCTTTTTCACAGACAAACAGACATAACACTGGCAATTTGTTCATCGAATACGCATCTAACGGCCAATTTAAATGTTTTTAGTTTGTAGTACCGCCACCTGTGGCGCGCATAGTCAATAACCCTTGCGTTTGACGTTCACACACTACCGCCATCTGTTCAGTGTACTACCCATCACAGTATACTCAACAGATGGCGGTAGTGTTTTAGCGACGATGTTTCATATTGAACAATATTCAATGTATAATGCCTGTTTGTCTGTGCCTTTTTAGTATTGCATTTGCTTAAATTTAGCTTTGAAATGATATTGTGGACACATGTTTATGGAAATAATATGGTATGTATTTTACCTTATCTATATGCGACGACGGGGTAAAACGGCCACCCAAAGCTTGAATAAAAATAAAAATAAAAACTTTATAAAATTTCCACTATAAATTTAGTGAATATTGATCTGTAGAGTACTTTCCCTAATTACATTGATTTTCAGAAAATTTCCATTTTATTTTATGATGTTTTATCACAAACCAAAAAAATAAACTCCTTAGAAATTTAGAACCTAGTTTTATGAATTGACTGCTTTTACGGATGTTCCGATGGATAACCCAGGCCTCCATATCAGTAATTCATACTGATGCTGTCACAAATGTTTTCGAAAAAAGCCTGATATATTTCAGAAACGAAATATTGCTATCTACTGCATTCAGTTTCAACCTTGAGGCATAACAAAAGGTGTCCGTCTTACCCCGATAAAAGTCAAAGTCTGTAATACTGTACTCATAATTTAAAGAAAACTTTCTATTTTTCTCTGTAAGAGCTTCGAACAAACTTGTGTTTTCCTTAAAGTAATGTTACTTTTACATAATAAATGATAAAACAATAAATGCCGAAAACACAAATGTGTTTTACAACACCTATAAATAGATCGAGGGGTACGACACATCCAAATCTCAACTTTAGATGGTCAAAAAATCTCACGATAGCGAATCAATCTACGAAAAATCTTTTTTCATCTCTTTCATCAAATCCATCCATTCACATCGCTTTCCACCTTTTTGCAGAAAATCTACAAAATTGTCATCAATCTTCTCTCTATCTATTAAGCGTGCGCGCATCTCACAAAAGCAAAGCAAAAATTGTCCTGCATCTTAGATATAGTCGAGTAATTGATGAAAGTATGCCGAACGAAAAAAAAATCTTGTTTTGTAATAAGAATTTGCAATACAACTTGTTTCAACCTGATGTTGGTATTATGATATGATAAACTAAGAATTATAAATGCTTAAAAAACTCACAAATAGCATATAAAACAAATTCTGGTATGGGTGCATGTCTGTCCCCGAAGAGGAGCTCATCTTGCCCTGGGGTGTCTGAGAACAAGGTTAAAAAGTTCATTTTTTAATTTATTTAAAAAAAAACTCAAAATGTATGACATTGAATTGTATGTAGGTGCTAGAACAGACATGAAAGATCTAGGGTAGACAATGATAGAATGTATTAATTGCAGTTATTACATATCAAAATGTTGTCAACCTTAGGGTGGCCATCTTGCTCCGTCTACCCCTATATGTTAAACACGTTGCGTGATAAATCGAGAGTGATATAATCGGAGTGTGAAAAAACGAACCATGGTAAAACCGAAACGCCACTGTAACAACTCTCATTCTGTGCGTGAAACATGGCGGACTATTCCTTATCCTTTTGCTCTACTGCAAAATCCCTTAAGGAACTGTCACTCTGCCCGTGAAGAGCCAATGCAACAAAGTTAAACATTTTTTCATAGCAAAACAATGGTAGCAACCTTGTCTAGGATTTTAAAATAACATACCTGTGGACTCTGTACAACATGCAGTTCTGGTGGCGTTGTTGCAACATGTTCAGTGATATTTGGTAGATAAGAGGTAGAGCATACTCCTGTGCTACGATGCGTACTACTATTGCGACCAACACGTGATTCTTCGTCGTCACTCGAATGGCTTGACGCCAGCTCGAGACTTCTACCATCCGTTTCGCTTCCAGAGTCGGAATCTCTCCTATGGCGTCGTCCTTTTCGATAATTCGGTGAATTATCATTGGTTTCCTTAATTTTCCGCATACCACCACTTTCGTACCCACGCATATACGACGGCACACCATCACTGTTGGAATTGTAGTTCGAGGTGGATGTTGATGTGTGTCGGAACTGGCCGTCACTTCTGCAATATGTTGGCATAATTGTAAACCACAATTTTAAAATGTCTTAAACAGTCTTACATACCTATATGGACTTGAACTTGTTTTGGCTGTACTACGAGATGTAGTGCTAGACGTACTAATTCCAATATTCCGACGTGCTGTTTCGTACTGGCTAGCGAAGCCTGGAGTTTTTGGTGCTTGGCCAATGTTTTGCGAGCTACTGCTAACGGCCAAAGATGAATCCAGTAAAGGTACTTTTCGCCCCAAACATCTTAAAAATGTTCTATGGAGATTTTCCCTCACGCGCTTATTGATTATGCAATACCCAATGACGGAAAAAAAAGCATGAATGATTACAATTGCCGAGAGTAGAACTTTCAGCGTTTGTGAACTTTCAGATGCTGCCAAAACTGCTAAAACCCACATAATACCCATCAACGGAAGAGAAACCACTGAAAGCCACAGCAGGGTTCGGAGGTTTCCAAATCCCAGGACATGATCCTTTATTGTAAAGGCAGCCTTCACCGATAAAAATAATATCAACAGATTAACGACGGACATAACGACGATTGGTCCAACTAGCCACCATATAACCGATTCGTAGACTGACAACCAGCAACTGAAAGAAAATATTGGTATAATTAGCTTTGGTAATTTTGAGCAAGCCATTCTATACTTACAACATATTGTTGCCATATTCATGCACTCGAACACCTACTGAAAGTCCTACTAGGAGTGCTGGGGCCCCATATCCGAGCGTGTAGTAGAATCCCATTGGACCATGGTTGATATCTCGCATTTCGGTCAACATGCGATACAAATGAACGCAATCGACGGTGGTCCACGCAAAAGCGGCAAGCCAAGCATAATGCAGCACAATCGCAACCAATTTGCAGGAAAACTGCCAAGGAAATAAACAATTAGGAACGAACTATTCTTAAGAACTAAAATCAATAATCCTCGCTAAAATCGTTTTCCGGCGTCCTTAAATTCAATGTTCCATTCACGTTGTTATTTTTATACGATGATGTACCTATGAGTTATATACTTCTTGAAGTTGCCCATACTTACTCGGGTTTTTCTGTCAAAAATAACTGTCAAACCTACCTCGAGCGACTACGTGCTTGTTCGATCTCAATGAACACCCGTGGTATTGGTATTTTATAGTCAGGGGCTGTTCATAAACTACGTAGACTCTTGTGGGGGTTTGTTGTCTACGTACATAGTTGAAGATGCTAATTTCAAATAGCAGACTAAAGCGGTAATTTTTATACATTAGATGAGAAGATTAAAGTATAGAATTGATAGTTCCGTTAGAGTACGGCAGTGTGAAAATTGCATATAGAGAGTAGAAAGCGAGCAGGAAGGTACAAATCGGTTTGATCATCTCTCTTTACCAAACTCCCCCGTTGGAGAGGGATGGTGAGGGGTATTCCCCCCGCCACCACTGGCAAAAAGAGGTGATCGCCGACTCGCTCGCCCGACACTGTGTTGAAACAGTTCTATCGATTTTTACCGCACTCAAGTTGTTATCTGAAGGAAGGCATCCCGTCGTAGCTTTAAAAATTGCAGCTATTGTTACCTCTACCACGGTATGTGCTCCTGTCATCGACGACTTGATGATCTCGAGGGACACGGGTAGGGTAGGTGCTGCAACTGTACCTTTCGACCAATGACAGTAATTGATGGTAAGCTCCCATCCAGAGTGCGGTAAAACTCTATAGAACAGATTCAAACCCTCTCATATAGTCAAAAATAAAGAAAATTGAAATCAGATCAAATGGGTGTTCATTGCGATAAGCAAGTAGAACATGGTCATATTAGGTACTGCAGCGTGACGTCACAATTGAACTCGGCTGAACCTTTTTGACAGTTCAGAGGTACTGTTTACAAGCACTTAGAAGTATTTTTGGAAACAATATTTTAAAATTTTCGAATTTTAATTTGAAATTGTTGAGGAAATGCGCGGTGATAGGATGTTGCTCACGGACATTGCAGAAGTTTGGTTTACATTTCACTGCAGTCTGAAAAATTATCGAGAAAATCTACCCAAGAAAAAAATTACTAAGTCCACGTAAACAGTTCCATTGAACTGTCATGCGATTGAGGTTAACCCCGGCGGTGCAAAACCTTATATGGTCGAGGTACACAGAGAAAAAAATACCCTAAATTTAAGTTCTTTTTACTTAATTTTGGATAATTTTGAGTTTTGCATCCCACTCTCACTTTTTGTTGTTGTAAAAAACGGAACGAGAGATTCGATTTTCTCATGACTATCGTTCAATAAGCTACTAGTGAGTATATGAGATATTCTCAAATTTGAGTCAATTGAACTTAATTTTGGGCAGAAAATACTCACGAGTAAGTAATTATTTTTGCCGTATTCAAATGCAAACTACTATAAGCGGTTTACTGAAAATTAGCTTATTGAACGGAACATGGGACATGAGTGAAAAGAACTTAATTTTGGGTAATTATTCGGTTCCGTGTAGGTTTAACAGTTATTTTTGACAGAAAAACCGAAGTAAGTACGGGTAAGTTCGAGTTAATGCGAGCTGTGTCATTATACAGACCTATATAATATGACACCATGAAATTGAAAATCGAGGTTTACCGTCTTCTTTGAACATGTGCGACTCGTCAAATCAAAACGTATTCAAGTTAACCTTTCGAGATATGTTCATTTAACTAACATTTTACGAACAAAAGTTTTCACATTTAAGGACCTTGTGCAATGCAAATGGGACAGTTACAGCGAGAATTATCTACTCAAATAAAATTTCATACCTCATTATCAACCAATTCTCTCCGTGCCTGGATTCCGATGAAAAACAGCATTTCAGCAATGAAAATACAAAACAGTAGATTCTGATGGATGGTATTGGAATTGGTTTGTAAACCACGCAGCAGTGCTAGCGACAGTATCACGGCAAACAGCACAGGCAGTGAGATCAAGAACGCAGAGTACGACGTAATCTGCACCAACAGCGATGGTTCTGGAATGTCTTCTGGGTCGATAACATCTACAAGTACGGCATAGCTCGATATTTGACTGCAAGTGCAGTTGATGAGTATGGTCTCGTTCGACGGCAGTAGGTCAAAGTCTGGAATCTCCGTCTGGCAGCCCAACCGAGTCCATAGATTTACGTGCGAATTCCATCGTACGCACTGAGGATTAGAGCGAGGTCCGAACCAATTTTTAGGTATATGTAACCACATTTGTAGCTTAATAGGCTGAGGCAGATGGGGACTACCAACTGATTTGTACTCAATCGGCTTATCTGAACTTGTTTCATCAATCGAAAAAGCGGAATATTGTTGGGCCACGCTGCGTTTCTTTATTTTAGTATACACTGCTTCATCCAGTCCGTAAGTGGCTTCATTATCAATTGCAGATGATAATACCACTGTGTCTGGTGGGTTAGAAACTTCAAAAGGGTTCTCATCAATACTCATTACTATTTCAGGGTGTTCATCTAAGTTCTCCAAATTTTCATGTTCGCTCATGTCATGAATTGAGATTTTGATTTCATTTGTCAGTCTCTCGCTTGGGTGGTCATGTATCGTCGACGTAGAAAACGATTCGGTTTCTTTTTTGCTTGTGGTCTTTTCTAGGGAGTTCAGGTATTCATGTATATTCTTGTCTTCATCTTTTCTGCCGTTACTGGGCACTAATATATTGAGTGAGATAACTGGGCTTGCAATTTGTACATCAACTCCCCATCTGCGAGTAATGGTTTCGTCAAAATTAAGTGGGAAAATTGCTCCAGCGTCCTTATACTGTGCATATCCGACAACTGCCCGATAATCACTGATCGTGTTTGTTACTTCATTTTTATCAGGCTGTGTGATTCCTAGCATGTCCAATGGAACCAATATCTTGCTATGCCTGTCGAATTTGGTCTTATCCTGAATATAATTGTTGTATTTTGGAAAAGAAATCAGCGGATGCTTCTGTTTGTTCGGATGTTGAAGGAACGAACTAGTGTCGGGTAAAATCACGCTTTCGGTAGTGAAAAGATAAGATTTGGTATTTTTGTTATATCCCGTCAGCAATTGTGGTTCATATCCAAATAATGACTCAGCAGTTACGATGTCTAACCCATAAGCCATATTGTCGTGAACTATTTCGAACGGATTCGTGTACGTATCGTGCTGCGACCGGCCTAATATAATCATATATTTGTTGAACGCCTCCACTAGATCGTTTGGACCTCTTTGAGTTAGATCGGTTAGCCGTTTCCATTCATTCCGGTATTGGACATCTAGTATAACTCCAGCACTCTCCACCAAATTTTTTATGTAATGTTTGTCTTGACTGTGAGATAAATTCAGACCACTTTGCCGTGTCTCATACTTGATTAATTCGTGTAGTAACCGTTCAGTGATCAATAAATCTGCACCGTACATTTTGCTTTGCTTCACATTTTGCATATCATTCAAATAATCAAACTCAAAGTCATCCGGCTGCCATAACGAGTTTTTCGAAGTAAAAGACGATTCCAGAGCATATATTCGAATTGAATCCTTACGATCTCCTTTTGCACGTCCAAAGCTAGTAGTCGCACTTTGCAGAGTAGCAGCAATTTTCACCGAAACGAATGTGTTCAACTCTAATCCTTCTGTTTCAATCTGCGACAACTGTTTCCGAAGGTCCAAAAAATGTTCAGATGTACAGTTGAACATATCTGGTTGACCCCATCCTCCATGTCCAATGTCACATTTTCTTGTACCCTTCCCTCTAGCTGGCAGAGGACAATTTTCGATAGCAATTTCACCAAACGGTGTTCGGGACCACCACAGACCAGCGGAAAAGGACTTGGGGCAAGCATCGTAAACTACTTCACAACCGTTTAGTGTCACTTCTGCATACGGGTTGGAACAAGAATCACAGCGTCTTCCTATAACACCTTCCCGGCATTCGCATTGCCCGGAACTATTGCATGATTTTCCGTACGATCCAATAGCGTAGCACTCGCAAGGAAGACAAGAAGTATCGTTTACTAATTGATAGTGATTCTCTCGACAGTAACATTGACCTGTCATCTTGTTACAGTCTGGGTGGTAACCCTGTTTTAAATTACATTTGCATGGTCCACAACCACGCTCTCCCCACCATCCAGCAGGACAAGGCTGTTGTGTTGTGATTTCACAGTATTCACCAGAACTTGCACTGTTGTTGCATTGGCAACGGTATCCTTTCATTGCTAGATTATCAGCACGACACTGTCCATCGTCGGAACAAGGTTTTGCCGTGCATACTGGTAAACAATCTCCTCCTACATAGCCATGAGTGCACTCGCAATGTGCTTCATCCCAACTCGTAACACAGGTTGAATGTTCTGGACAGCTATTAGGACATTTGGCATTAGACATACATCCGTCGATAACGTTTTCTCTTATGGTCGGTCGATTCAGAACCGATTGACTGCCGCCAACACGAACATCTTGGATGCAACCCTCATAATAACCATAATTTCCGTATCCGGCAATACTGCTTTCTGATCCACCAATGACAATTCTTCCAACATATAGGCCCTGTATTTTCTGAGCCATGGGTAGCACTCCAGTTCGTTGACCATAGTCTACAGACAGGGAAACTTCAGTGCCCAGCCATTTGATCTCTATCCTATGCCATTTGCCATCGGCAAGATTCGTTCCGGCAAGAAACATCGGCTCCGAATTGTACGTATAGTACAGGATGCCATCTCGTAACGAAACAATCGCCGAACTATTTTGGCCAACCTGTACTTGCATCAAAAATGCATCCTTCTGCCTAGTTCTGATCGATAACGCAGTTAACCAAGGTAGTTGTATAGGACGCAACAGTGGATTGAAACTTAAAATGCCATCTCCGTTAAAACGCCACGGCAATGTCACTGACTCTTGGCATGCATTTCCGGTATATCCATCGGGACAATCACATTCCCAACCTTCACCCCATCCTTCTTGACAAGTGCCACCATTAAAGCACGGTTCAGAGGCACATGATGATGATTTTTGTGGACAACCAGCGATAGTACCATTGTCAGCAATGAACGAGTTGAGATCAACGTATCGATGATCAACGTAAATATCCGATATGCACCCAATGAAATCATGGGACTGTATTTGAAAGTGTGCTGGAATCTTCGGTAAGCCACCGATTTGCAGAGGCCCGGTTAGATCTAGGAAACGATGACATGACTCGGTGAGAGACCCACATCTACGATCTAGAATCATTGTAGTTTGATTTGCGCAGTTCCAGCGTTGGCCAAGGTTAGCCAATGCCAAGGCAGTGTCACAGTTATCTACGGAAAGCATTACCGTGCGGTTAAAATAATTTACTTCTACCGAGTGCCAGTTGCCATCGGATATTCGGTTGTTCTGATCCACCATGATCGATTCAATTTTGTCACCAAGCGAAAACGAAAACATTACTCTACCGTTAATGATTTCCAGCGCTATAAAGTCGTGCTGCTCGTTATATCTTCCGTTGTATAGCAGTAATCCGTTGTCCCGCACGGTTGCAAAACTCAGTTTAATGTTAAATCTGTGTCGTTGCTTCATGCTAGTGAACGTTAAAAATGAATTTCTCGTAAAAGATCGCGAAATCAGCTCACATGTTTTGGTATACGATGGGCTGTGCGGAGTATTTAACGTGTGCGACAGGCAACTGAATCCCTCTCCACATTGATCAGCAGCACATGCCTTCAGACTTTTGATCTCCGTTTCACAGTTAACTCCTGTGTATAATTCAGTGCAAACACATGTATATCCGCCTTCTCTTCGGACACAGCTGCCTCCATTCTGACAAGGATCGGAATAACATAGATCAACTTCCGTGTCACAAAGATAGTGTTCTTTGCTACCGGTGAACCCTTCTGGACATTTACATGCAAACGTATTAACCGGATATATGGGACGGAACAGCACTGTATCACTATGAATGAACCCGGATGCGTTGCCAAATTTCAGCACCGATAAACATTGTTCGTAATTTAAGCAAGGTTCTCTAACGCAAAGGTTATCGTCGAAAGGCAAAACTTGAACAGTTGCCAATCTAGCCAGTATGGCACGATTTAAATACACTCGCTCTTGCAAGTATTGTGGACTGTAATACTCTTCGAAGGCAACATCCGGACGTCGAGCCGAGAAACTTACATTCAATATTCTGGAATTAACATCGGTGTCATCCTGGATGGAAAACAGGTAAATGTTCTCCTTGGGACAGGGAATAATGGCCGCCAATCCATCTAGGAAGAAGCTCAACAATGGTGAAAGAAACGCCTCTTCAGTCATCTCGTCTAGCCGAACGGTGACAGAATTAAACAGCATATCCTCCGTCACAAGACGTACGATCAACTGCATGATTGCTTTGGCCTCATTAATTCCATCTGTCACTGATACTTCCATGATTGCAAATTTTGGGACATTTGTGTTCAATTGTGGACTCAACGTCAACCCTCCAGATGAGCTGTTCAATTTAACCAAATTTGCGTTGTTGCCAGATAAAATGCGATACGTCAGTTTGTCCGTGACATCTGCATCGAAAGCCGGGATTCGTCCGATAACTCCGCTTGGAAAGCAATCTCTAAAGTTGTTGAATATTACTTGGAAATCACGAAGTACAGGTGCATTGTCATTCACATCCGTTACCATGATCTCTACGTGAACATCGTTTCTCAATGGTGGACTGGCTGCTCTTATCACAAGTTCAAAACGTTTTTTACTCGATTCATAGTCCAGTTCGGTCATAGTTAATAGTTGAGCCCGCTCCGAACCAGGTCTTGTGACTAATGAAAATGAATTGGAATCATCTCCACCGATAATAGAGTAATGCACTATTGCGTTTACACCCTCATCCGGATCGTGAGCATGGATTTCCCCCACCACTGACCCTACAGGACTATTTTCTGGTACATACAATGTTAACTTGTCTGAAGGAAACGTGGGTGGAGAATCATTTACATCATCCAAACGAATTTGCACTTCAACAGAACTACTAAGTGTCGGCGTTCCTTTATCCGATGCTATTGCCACAAGGTGGTAAACGGCAATGCTTTCTCTGTCTAGCCCTTTATTAGTTCGAATCACACCTGACGTAGGATCTACTATAAACGAGCCATCTTCAATGTCTTTAGGGCTGAGTGTGTATTTTACGCGACCATTTAATCCCATATCAATATCTGTTGCAGCCACCTGAACCACTGATGTTCCGATGAGAGCATCTTCTGGTATCGTTGCTTGATATAGAGGAACTTTGAACTGCGGAGCATTGTCGTTTACATCTGTTATACTAACTTCTACATCAGTGGTATCACTTAGTGATGGATTGCCGCCATCCTTTGCCATTACTGTTAGCAAGTATCCACTTGTCGTTTCACGATCTAAAGGAGCATTAGTTACGATAGCCCCTGTTTGCGGGTTAATGCTGAATGGTTCGTTGGATCCCAGCCCGTTTACAGATTCATCGTTCAAAAGAAATGTTATTTGAGCGTTTACGCCAACATCACTATCTACTGCAAATACCACCAATACTGTGGTACCGATTGGGGCGTCCTCGAAAACTGATGCCGTATATGGTGCGTTTTCAAAAACTGGTGCAAAATTGTTAGCATCTGTGATATTTATGTTGACAATAGCCGTATCTGTTCGCTGACCACTATCCGTGGCAGTGATAGTTAATGCAAATCTACGCTCCTGTTTGTAATCTAACGGTTGAGCAATGGTTATCAATCCACGGCCGTTCTGGGACGTTATAGAGAATCTGCCTCTCGTATTACCTGCTGTAATTTCATAATGTAGTCGGGAATCTTCATCAGGATCAGTAGCAGTAACCGTAGTGACGGGAGTACCAGGCGGTTGATCCTCTGCAATAGTGGCCTCGTAGTATGTCGGGCTAAACTTCGGATCATTATCGTTGACGTCTTGTATTGTGACGACAACTGACGTGCTAGCCGATTTGGGTGGAATTCCACCGTCCATGGCAATCACCTGAAAACTATATCTACTTTGTTCTTCGCGATCCAATGACTTTGTGGTATGAATCCATCCTGTGCGGGAGTCTACAGCAAGCGGTAAATTATCATCTCTGTCTTGTATGTTATACGAGATTTCTGAATTAGTTCCTTCGTCAGAATCATATGCTTGAACCCGTACTATATTGTAACCAACAGGGACGCTCTCCAGTACTGCTTCTTGAAATTGGGATGTGTAGAAACGTGGTGCGTTATCGTTGGCATCAAGGACATTCACTAGAAGTTGCGTTGTGTTACTACGTGAAGGACTACCACCATCCTGAGCTCTTATAACTAATCGATAACTTCTAACGCTTTCATAATCCAGCGGTTTCACAAGCGATACATCACCACTCATCGAGTCTATCGAAAACTGCGATTGCGTATTTCCACCGATGATTGCATACCTATAATAAACAAAAAAAATATATTAATCCTTAAAGATTAGTTTTTATAGTGTAACAAAACTGAATTGCAAAATGGTGAGTCGACAACCTGAGTGGTAAGGGCTCAGCGGTAACAATTTATTATTTTATTACTTTATTTTATTATTTTTTCCTAATAAATTGCTAAAGGGAATTATTTTGATTTTAATGTAATGTAATAATTGAACAGGTTTAGTTCAGATGTAATAATTGAACAGGTTTAGTTCAGATGTAATAATTGAACAGGTTTAGTTCAGATACGATTTTATTCGAAAGAACTTTGTCAGTTCAAACATCGGTGATATCCAATAACGTAAAAATCGTCATAAATGTGCATACGAAGTCAACCATCTTCATAAATTATGCAAACAAGCAGCTTGTTTCAATATGGACTGTATGGAGGGCCCTTCACTTGGACTGGAATTTCGAGCACTAAAGGAACCAACTCGCGACCGATCACTTCAACGAAAACGTGTTCTTTATTGCATAAAAAGTTACAAAGGTTCTGTATTTATCTTTCTTTGTTCTGGTTATCTATCACATTATACGATTGGTTTCGAACTGGCTCACTTGTTTTTGTTGTTGTCATTAACCCACAGAAAAAAGTACGGTTGTATGAAGAGGCTCACCGGGGGGCTCCTCAACACCTAAACACAGCTATAGAAACGTAATATTAAAACGATGAAATGCTCCTTATACCCTGGACAGACTATGGCTTATATCATGTAATATAGGCTGTCTTGCAATGAGCACTCATACATTGGATTTCCAGTGAAAACTAGATGTATGAGTGTTCATTGCAAGACAGTCTATATTACATGATATAAGTCATAGTCTGTCCGGGGTATTAAACTTTGGAAAAATGCTTCTTCTGGAAGCTTCTTTATACCCCGTACAGACTATGGCTTATATCATGTAATATAGGCTGTCTTGCAATGAGCACTCATACATAGGATTTCCAGTGAAAACTAGATGCATAGGCAGTAAAATAATATAGGTTTAATACCCTGGACAGACTATGGCTTATATCATGTAATATAAGCTGTCTTGCAATGAGCACTCATACATCTAGTTTTCACTGGAAATCCTATGTATGAGTGCTCATTGCAAGACAGCCTATATTACATGATATAAGCCATAGTCTGTCCAGGGTATAAGGAGCATTTCATGATTTTAATATTGCAAAAACCTTTTTTTTTTCGAATACATACCCACGAAGGGAAGACTTCAAAAATATAATTCGTTCTGGATTCAGTGTGTATAAGGAAACTTTAAAGCGTTTCAATTCTTAGGCTCTGAACCATTTGGTGGATTATTTTAACTTTTGGTTAAAATTTGACAGATGGAAAGTTATCGATTAACCCTGCTATCCGAGCATGGTTATTTCTGACAGACAAGAAGTTAAATTTTGACAACCGTGGCTCGAAAACCGGTCGATCGACAGCACAGGGATTTTCGAACATCGAGAATAACTTTCGAAATGTCACTTTTAACCACGAGTTAAATTTAACTCGTGGTTAAAAGTGACATTTCGAAAGTTATTTTCTATGTTCGAAAATCCCTGTGCTGTCGATCGACCGGTTTTCGAGCAGAACTTAGCCAAGGTTGTCAAAATTTAACTTCTTGTCTGTCAGAAGTAACCACGCTCGGATAGCAGGGTTAATCGATAACTTTCCATCTGTCAAATTTTAACCAAAAGTTAAAATAATCCACCAAATGGTTCAGAGCCTTAATGTCATATAGTTTACCAGACCAAAGCCAAACAGTGTATCAAACGGTTTATGTCAGGATCAAGATCTTTGTTGATCTTAGCAGTTTATCGGGATCAGAGGCACGGGTTGAAGCTGAAAAGCAGGGGCCCGTTCAAATATGATGTAAAGCATAAACGCAATTTGTTGCGTTACTTAACACCCACGTCCCCATGATTTAAAAAGCCTGCTTACAGATGAAGTGAGCATTTGTTGAGATTATGATAGTATCTCAACAGGAGCATTTTCTCAATAATGCTAGCTGCCATGTTCTCGAAAGTATAAGTTGAAGTGCAGATGTTTCTTAGATTGATTGTCACCGTCAAAGATGTTTCAACGCATTAGCTTTCATTAAAAGCAAATTGAGGACATCGATGTCTGACGAAAAGCTGAGCTTTCTTTTGTTTGCTGAACATCGAAAGTGATATTCATAAAAGCAATTGATTTAAAAAACGTATAAAGGACTTTCTGAAGCTTAGGCTGTGGTCCATTTGGTGAATTTTCACTTAAATTTGACACTTCGAAACTAAATTATAATGTTCGAAAATCCCTCTGTTGTTGATCGGCCAATTTTCGAGAAGGTGTGTGTCAAAATTGATTCCTTGTCTGTCAGATATAAGTCTGCTGGAATAGCAGGTTAATTTGGAAATTTTCCATCTGTCAAGTTTAAGTGAAAATTCGCCAAATGGAACACAGCCTTAGTATGGACAACAATTATTTGTTGTAGAGGTGAATTGACAATCAATCAAAACCTCTTAAATAAACAAAAATATATTTGTCACAGTGCACAGTGGTCCAAAATGCAGATTTAGGTGGAATGATATGTTTTGAGCCTGAAATTGAAACTTTAGACTAAAAGTCTCTTCTACAAAGTTGTTCCTTATAGTTAGGCCCTCATTTTTATGACAATGAATTCTAGGGTGGTTCCTATCATCATTAAAATCAAAAATCTAACTTTTTTGTTTGAATAAATTAAGGTATACATTTTTCGACAAAGTTATAGCTGAGCTAATTTCAAGCAACTTTGTAGAAAATAACTTTTTTGTATCTCTTAAATTGGACGATTTAGAGCTATTTTCTTGAATTGCGTTAGGGTGGCTCTTGAAAAAACAGTTTTTTTCTCTAGTTTTCTTATTTCAAATTTCTCAGCAAAGGTGTCTTCAGTTAACTTTTAGATCTTAAGAAGGCGTAAGTTTTTGCTGCACAAAGCTTGTCAATATCTTTCGCCGATCAAGAGTTATTGACGTTTTTATACTAAAAATATGCACTTTTCAAATGTTAATATCTCTGGTTGGGGCAAACAAAAAAAAAAAGTTTTTTTACGACATTTGAAAGGGCGTATATAATTCTCAATATTATGACAAAATTGGAGGTATGTTATTTTTTAAACTCGTATAAAATCAATTTGAATTTAGTCATATTTTTTACTATATTTGGGTATATCTTTTTTATTAGAAGAGATACAGGCAACAAATTCAGATATAAAACATTCGTCTAAAAGAGTTTTAAAATTCTTTACAAGATAACTTTCATGAGAAATTTCAAATAAAAAAGTTATTGCTAAAAAACTATTTTTTTCCAGGAATACCCTAAGTCAACTCCGAAAAATACTTTAAAATGAGAACGATAAGAGATAGAAAAAAAATTTCTTCGACAAAAATACTTGCAATCAACTTAGCTACAACTTTTTTAAATAACACATGTTTTTATTTTGTAAAACAAAAAAGTTAGTTTTAAAAATTCCCTAATTTGAGGACCACCCTGACGTTTGCAAACACCAAAAGAAGGGAATTTTTAAGAACAAAAACTTCTTCGAAGACACTAAATGTCCAAATATTGAAACAAATGTACTAGCACATTTTATATAAATTTGTCATTAGAGTGGTCCTTTGAAATCCATTTTTTGCCAATAACTTTTTTATTTGAAATTTCTCATAAAAGTTATCTTCTAGAGAATTTTAAAACTCTTTTAGACAAATGTTTTATACCTGTATTTGTTGCCTGTATCTCTTCTAATAAAAAAGATATACCCAAATATAGTAAAAAATTTGACTAAATTCAAATTGATTTTATACGAGTTTAAAAAATAACATACCTCCAATTTTGTCATATTATTGAGAATAACATACGCCCTTTCAAATGCCGTAAAAAAAATTTTTTTTTGTTTGCCCCAACCAGAGATATTAACATTTGTAAAGTGCATATTTTTAGTATAAAAACGTCAATAATTCTTGATCGGCGAAAGATATTGACAAGCTTTGTGCAGCAAAAACTTGCGCCTTCTTAAGATCTAAAAGTTATCTCAAGACACCTTTCCTGAGAAATTTGAAATAAGAAAACTAGAACAAAAAAACTGTTTTTTCAAGAGCCACCCTAACTCAATTCAAGAAAATAGCTCTAAATCGTCCAATTTAAGAGATACGAAAAAGGTATCTTCAACAAAGTTGCTTGAAATTTGCTCAGCTATAACTTTGTCGAAGAATGTATACCTTAATTTATTCAAACAAAAAAGTTAGATTTTTGATTTTAATGATAATAGGAACCACCCTAGAATTCATTGTCATAAAAATGAGGGCCTAACTATAAGGAATAACTTTGTAGAAGAGACTTTTAGTCTAAAGTTTCAGTTTCAGGCTCAAAACATATCATTCCACCTAAATCTGCATTCTGGACCACTGTGCAGTGGCAGCAACTTGCTAAAACTCTACACTGGACCCCTTTTATTGATAAATTTTGCTTCTATGAGCCTCTATTTTAAATCAACACACAGACGTTCCTAGGCTATGGTGCCCGTTTGGTCACTGTTGTTTTTGTGCTGATCCAAATAGTTTTGACAATATAATTGCGCATTCTTGTTTTTTTAAAAGGTTGATTTTCCCAGTCCCAGTCTTGTATTCTGTCGTCACTTATTTTGTCATTTTGTCTTGTGTATTAACCCCCACTTGTCTTGTTTATTGTGTCAACTTGTGTCTATTGTCCTTCCTCATCTGTTTTAAACTCGTTCTGTTACTCTGTCATGACTAATTTCACTTCACTTTTCACTTTTCAAAAATAGTAATATCAATTACAGGATAATATGGTTATTTCTCGATTACTTTTTCAAAGGGAAGAACCAGCTCCTGCAAACAATGCATCCGATCGTCGATCCGGCGCAACCGGCAGCTCGCACACGCCTACCAACACCACTAGCAGGTAGAGGAAAATTTCCCTATCTGATGATAGTGCTAGCATGCG